CATCCCATGTGTTCTGAGAAAATATTTGCGCCTTTTTCCGTGCAAACTGCGATGCTTTCACAAGAGTTAAACATAATGGACTTCTGATTTTTTTCTAACTAGGGCAAGCGCAGATGTGATTATGCCTCCAGATGTGTCACGATTTTATCTTTTATTGTAGATTTTAAATTCGCTATACATTTGCTTTTATTCTTTGTTTCTTACGTAATGCAATCTCCGTTGTTTTCGACCTTGATGCCGTTTTCTTTCGTTAAAAGCGGAGGGGGGGAAGACTTTTACTTTCTCGGCTTCCAACTTTCATGCTCTAACGAACCATCCTCGATTGCGTAACAAGCATAGGGCGTAAGGAGAACAAGAGGGAATTTCTACGTAGAGATCTGTTACGAAACATATAAAAAGAAAGAGAAAACGGGAAAAACAGTATTGAAAAAAATCGTAAATATCTATTACGAAAACAGAATAACTGGAAGAAGAAAAGTGATTATATAATATTAGCGATTGCAAAGCGAGCGCAAGGCGTAAGCAGTAAAGGGTAAGGCATTAAGAAAAAAACAACAAGTAAACGAAATAAAAACCCGCAAACCTCCCCCCTTTCCCCGGCCTCCCACCTGCGCCTCGCCGCTGATTAATCGCGCGGCGCCGTGTGCATCGGGCATAATTATTCCGTGGTTAGCGGCCTCCTCGCGGCACTCCGAACTAACTTGGCGGCGTCGGGTTGCTGTGACACCATAAATCCAGTGCCAGTGCCATCCGCTTTGTTTCCCCCTCCCTCTCCCTCCCTCGGTGGCATCTGCTGCTGACACTTCACGCTGCTGCTACTACAGCTACTATCATCATTACTAACAGAGGCGACGGCTAACCAAGCCTCATTTACTGGGCCGGATTTCGCCGGTTGCGGCTGAGGCCGAGGGATCTTTTTCTTTTTCTTTTCTTCTCTCTCTCTCTCTCTCTCTCTCTCTCTCTCTCTCTCTCTCTCTCTCTCTCTCTCTCTCTCTCTCTCTCTCTCTCTCTCTCTTCTAACGACTGTATCTCTCTCGACACGTCTCCTTATCCACCCGCGCACCTCTTCCACCCAGGGCCGTCGAGCGCGTTAACAGAAGGCGCTCCCAACGGCACCGATTTTCCCGACTGCCTGTTACGGCGACGGTCTCTTCCCCGCCTCTGATGCGGAGTATTTGAACGCGCCGTCACGCCGTCACGCCGCCCGCCAAACCTTAAACCCTTTTCCAGCGTCAATAGAAAAAGCTCGATTAATCTGCCTGTGCTTATACACGGAAGGCGGGACGCAAAGGACGTCAACCAATTTATAGAAAGGAAAAAATACATATATCTCGGTTACATGACAAATTTGTTGATAATCCCCTAAAGTGCCAATTACCTGAATATGACAAATTGGAACAATTTCGGCGTCCTCTGTCCCTCCTTCTACCCCCTCCCCCCCGCGTGTTGCTACCATCAATATTTGGAATAAACTGCAACAGTGATATATCACTGTCATCCCTGCAATGTGTGCAACGAACGAAATCTTTAAATATTTCGTGCGAAGAGTTACGTCCCTGTCTCCGAAATGAAAAGAGGATTTGCCCAAATCTCGGGAATTTGTAAAATCAATAGAAATAAAATTTATTGCAACTAGAATAAACTGGTTGGGTGATAATAACAATAGTGATAATAATTATGATAATATTAACAATACGAATAATTACAATTACTATTGTCATTAGGTCTTTTACGGCAAATACCATTATCATGGTTACTACTGCAGTTACCAGTATTAGCACTATTTCTATCACTGCCATAACTGTAATTATCATGGATGTTATCATCATTAGTCTATTACTACTACCATCAGTATCATTTTCACCACTATCATTATCATTATAATAAAGCGAAAAGAAAAGAAATTTGTCCCCAATTTCCGTTGACGTGGCTTAAATGTCATTTTATTTTATATTTGTAATCCGGTACATTCCTGAGTAATTACTCATCATTAATCTTGCTTTATTCCGAGAGAATGCTTGCTATGGCGATAGTCTACGTCCCGTTATACTATCCATTATTTATTGACTTTTATCATATTACCAACATGATTTATGCTACTACAAATTACCTTACATCAAATTAATCAATAGAATAAATACACAGACATAAAGCCAAACACACATACACACACACACACACACAGAGAGAGAGAGAGAGAGAGAGAGAGAGAGAGAGAGAGAGAGAGAGAGAGAGAGAGAGAGAGAGAGAGAGAGAGAGAAAGAAAGAAAGAAAGAGAGAGAGAAAGAGTAAAATCAACCACAAAAGCCACAAATAAGCAATAAAAAAATCACGCACCACATCCCGCAATACAATTCAACATTTTGCCCTGGTAACATCCTTGCTCATATCCTTTCGCTCTACGGAGATGTAACAGGAGAAGCTCCCGTCCGGATAAAAAGAACAGCTTCTCAGGAAAATTGCAATGTTCCGCATTCACTCTACACACTTCTTACTGAAACGACTCTGAATATAGGACGCTCTCCCTGTTTCTCTCTTTGTCTTCCTCTAACTTTCCGGCTGCCTATCTAACTATCTGTTTGTCTCTGTCTGTCGCTGTCTCTGTCCCTCTGTGTCTCTCTGTCTGTGTCTCAGTCTCTCTCTCTCTCACTCTCTCTCTCTCTCGCTCTCTCTCTCTCACTCTCTCTCTCTCTCACTCACTCATCGTTTATCCCTTTACTTCTTCACATTGCAGTCTCAGAAGAAAGCGGGGGGAGGGTGGGGGAGGCGTTGCAAGAAGATGCAGCGTGTGGTTATGTGACACTCAAGTCCTCCTGAAGTCCTTTAACTGCCTGATAACATTAAGACAGAGATTATCGGGAAGGTGTAGTGGCCAAGGTCTCACTCCGTCTCTGTCTGGTTCGCCAGTTCTCCAGTCTGTCTGTCTGTCTGTGTCTGTGGCTCTACGTTTCTGTGTATGTGAGTTTTTGTCTGTCTGTCTGTCTCTTTATATATGTATATATATATATATATATATATATATATATATATATATATATATATATATATACATACATACATACAAACATGCATACATATATATACACATATACGTATACATATACATATATATGCATATATATATATATATATATATATATATATATATATATATATATATATATATGTATATATATACATATATATCTACCTTTATATGTGTATATGTCTATGTATATTAACATACATATGTATACATATGTATATGTATATGTACATATTTATCTATTTATGCACACACACGCATATATAGGTATATATATATATATATATATATATATATATATATATATATATATATATATATATATGTATGTATGCACACACACAAACACACACACACACACACACACATCGATCACCGACAGCTCGACAAATAATTCAGCCCATAAAGAGAACTCAACGATGCACTTTGTTGCAGAAGTAATTATGCGTCTGGTGGCTTCCCGTGCATGTTTATTTGGCCCGTGTTATTCCCGGGGCTTCATTACGCTTTCGTTCGTTCTGCGTTTGTTCGCGCAAACACATGCAGAAATGAATATAAGCATATACACGAACAACCACAGATGCATGAACAGAAGCACACAAAGACACATACAAACACACGCACACACCCACAAACAAACATGCAAACACACACACACACGCACACAGATATGGATTATGCAGGAACATACCGTACACACAGGTATTAATCTCTTATACGTGTTCGTGATGGACACATTACCGAAATAATTTTTCAAAAATATTCTTTCCGTGTCTGGACTCTATACTAAAGTTATTTCTGAAGCATTAAATATATTATGTAAATATACTAGTTGATCCAAAAGGAATTATCATTAACTCATACTTAGATAATTATCTACACACACACACACACATTCACACACATATATATATATGTGTGTGTGTGTGTGTGTGTGTGTGTGCACTATGTGCATATGTATGTCTATGTATATACAAATAAATAAATAAATACATAAATATATATATATATATATATATATATATATATATATATATACATATACATATACATACATATATATAAAATATATATATATGTCTTTTTCATAAGAGTCTGTTATGAACTACTTATGTTTTAAGTAATACGCACGCATATAATATATATATATATATATATATATATATATATATATATATATATATATATATATATATATATATATATATATATATATATATATATATAATCCCTGCGCACACTTGCAGCGGTAGGCCTATATCTTTCGGGCGACCAATTAGCGTTTCCTTCCGCGGTCGCCGTAAATCATCGATAATAATTAACCGCACAAAAAGTCAATAGCGATGTATAATTCCTTCCCCCAATAACTATTCAACTTTATATCATCATAAATGCCTCAGCATGAAATCGGAATACAAGAGGTGGATAGGAGAAAGAAAGAGAAAAGCAAAAAGCCAAGAATTACTTTTTGCAAAGTTCCGTGTGCAACAACGAACACTCTCTCCTTCCCCCTCAGTTTCCGGCCTTGCAACTTGTGTGAAGGTAATTCGTCCTAAGTGCAACCTGGTCCCCAACGACGACAGGCAAGTGGGTTTATTAAATGAATTCCGAGGCCAATTTCCGCGGCGGCGTCCGAGGCTCTGGTCGCAGGAGTCGGCGACGGAGCCCATTTCGCTGCGGACGCCTTCGGTTCGTCCTCTGCGCCAAACGGCTTATTTCGAGCGGACAGGCCTCGGCTTTTCCTCCTTTTTACTATTTATGTAAGTTCTATTGCGTATTTTGGGCGCGTAAGGAGCGTTGCGTACGAGTTCGTAACCGTTCGTTTGTTTGTGCCATGCACGTGTTGCATGCAGCGACTCGGGCAATATCGTATGTCATCGTTTGCATGCTCTGGCAGCCACGTAGCCCCGTGCCATTCCATTCATCAACGCGAAAGACGCCAACAAAAGGACGAGAGATGCTGGGTCAAACTTAC